TCAAGAACCGTGAGATACATAATCAGTGGTCTCCCCGCAACTGGAGGCATGAGTATTGGAGGTTCCTGCAGATATTCTTTTATTCTTTCGAACGCCTTCTGGCAATTTTCATTCCACCTGACCGTTCGATCTTTTCTTAGCAATTTGAATATTGGTTCACAAGTGGCTATAAGATGAGATATAAACCTTGCAATGTAGTTCAATCTCCCCAGAAAACCACGAACCTCTTTTTCCGTTCTCGGCTCAGGCATATCTTTTATAGCTTTTATTTTGGCAGGACCCACCTCAATACCCCTTTCACTGATAATGAAACTCAGTAACTTTCCAGATCTCACCCTGAAGGTGTTGTCGTACCTCGAAAAATACGATCCTCGCGATGGACGCGGAAAATACTGTTCGAAACAGAGTCGCCACCGAACTTTATTCATTCCAAGGATGGAATAGGAAAATATCGATAAAACCTTTAAGGAGATAAGAACATGGTCATCGCAACCAATATTCTAGGTTCGGGAGTCGGTTACGCAGAGGGAAGGTATTAGCACCCTCTACGTCCGTTGTACTCAACGGGAACCTCTTGATCGATTCGAGAGTAAAGTTATCTATGCTTATTTGTTTTCTTCTAAAGTTTCTCCTAAAGGGGGAAATAGGGGGTTTTAAGATAGGGTGCTCGCCAAGGATTGGGGCCCTTGTGCCTACGTATCTTCACTTGTAAGAAGTGGAAAATCAGAGCATTCGTAGTTCGTGGGACTACGGGAAAAAGAGGAGATTGTGCTCGCTAGGATTATCGCAATCCTATGCCTACGTATTCTCAACGGATGTGAGAAATCAGAGCATCCGTAGTTTGGCTAACTACGTAAAAAGGTTTGTGAACGAACGAGTGTTTATGTCGCATTCTAACTGCTAAACATTGGCTTGTCTGCTCGCTAGGGGAGGCTGAAGCACGAGTTTGTTATGCGCGGAAGAAAGGACTAAACAATGTTCTTTGGGAAAGTATTTAGGTTGGAGATCGCACGAGGGCGAGGAATTTGTGTTTATCATATTGGATGTTTTGGTTAGAGGATATATTTGAATAGGTTTAAGGTTTCGATCGCACGGGGGCGAGAAAGAGGAGTTTGGTTAAGTTATTTGAAGGGAGAATGATGACTACTCGATAAACGAGATGTCGGTCTCGCAATCAATTAATCGGGATATTATTGGAATGCTAGATTCCAACAACACCTTTTTCATTCGAATAATTACGAAATATGTTTGAGAAAGTTCCAATCACACGAGGGCGAGAGAAGAGAGTTGGATTGAATATTTTAAGGGAGAATGACGACTACTCGATGAACGAGACGCCAGCCTCACAATCAATTAATCGGGATATCATTGGAATGCTAGATCCCATTGATACCTTTTTCATTCAATTAATTAGGAAAGTGTATTTGAATGGACACTGGTGGTATTTGTCAAAGTAGTTAGGGCACGTATTTTATAGATGAAAGGTCGAGTAATTCACAACCTAAAGCGCACGCCCCAAGAGTGGTTACTCAAGAATTCAAGGAGTGCAGGACTCCAAGAACTCATTTCTTTCGTAATTTAATCAAGAAGATAGTTTGGATTTGACGTACGGTTTAGAATCGTACTAGGGTTTAGACTCGATCGTATGAAGGTGAGGAACGAGGTTAGACGGGTTGAAAATTTGGGAGGAATGACGACTATTCGATAAGCAAGACGTCGGCCTCGTAACCAATTAGTCGGGATATCGTTGGAATGCTAGATCCCAACGGTACCTTTTTCGTTCCATTAATTATAAAAATATGTTTGTTGGACAGTGAATACTTGTCCAAATAATTATGGAAATATTTTAGAAACGAAAGTTCGAACGACACACCATTCAAGGCGTACGCCTCAATAGTAGTCACTCTCAAATTCGAGGAATGCGCGACTCCAAGAACCCGATCCTTTCGTGATTCGATTTAGAAAATAATTTGAATTGAATAGCATACTCGGACTAGGTGCGCTAGGTATTCTTGAAAATAAGATCGGAAGGGTCACAACTCGAGGTGTGCACCTCGAGAGCGGTTGCTTAAAAAATTCAAGGAAGGCGAGATCCAAGAATTTAATTGTTTTGAAATTTGCTTAAGAAAAAAAGTTTAATTTAATTAAGAAAAATAGTCTTAATTTTTATAAAATTAATTAATCAATTGTAAAGTTTTGATTTGGGAAAAGTTTAATATTTTAGAAAAGTTTTAACTCAATTAATAAAGTATAGCTTTTCAATATTTAAAATGTTATTTGTTAATAGTTTTGAAATATTTTTATTTAAAAAAAATAATAACTAGAAATTTCTTATAACAATATATAATCAAATAAAAATTGACTAATAATATTTTTTAGAAATTTTAATTGGATTGAGTGAAAAACGGTTTTGAAAATCGAAAAACGGAACAACCACAACTCAAGGGCGCGCGCCTCGAGAGCGGTTGTTCAAGGACTCAAAGGATGCTAGACCCCAAAAGCCCACTACTTTCGCAATTAATTAGGAAAATATTTTAAATTGTCTTATATAACAAAACTAAATAATTAGTAAATATTTAATTGAATAATAATAATTGGAAATGATTATTTACTTATCGCTTATTAATTAGCAATTTTAATTCATTAATTAGGACTAACAGTAAAATAATTAATCAACAATAATTATCAAAATTAATTTCAATTACATTAGTATCAAATAATTCCAGTTCAGCAGCCATTTGAGTATGTACAATGTTCACTAAGTTACCCATATTAAAACTGAAAATAATCGTACGTATGAAAGTTGTAGTTCTAAAAATTTTTTTTACATTAAAACCAAACCATCACAGCCAAATTGATATTCTGCATACACCATGGAATTTTAAACTACCATCACCGTAAGATTCATCATGAAAAGAGTAGAAAACACGGACATTATCGACATATTCTAAAAAAAAGACTGCACAAAGAAACAAGTGTGAAGAACTTAATGTCGACAAAACATCCTATGATGTGAATTTAAAACAACAAACTATGCTACAACAAAAATGATGCGTTACCGATCGGAGTCGGGTCTTGAGAAATGGTGCCTTTGATTTCGAACCATAGCTTCACATGAGATCCCCTGCTTGGATCGCTTGTCGGTGTTGTTGCGAAGTCGAATCTATGTGAGATTTTGAAGATGTTATGTTGTTGCTGCAGAGTATTGCTCGAAGCGTCATCGCCAAACATAAGTTGCAGCAGCAGCCTGTCACAAGGTGATACAACTTGCAAGCGACAGTGTAATATGCGCAAAGAGACAAACATATGCGGTGAAGAAAAACAAAATATTAAAATGAAATTAGAACAAAACAGTTACCCTGCGTTAAACACAACATGGCCGCCATTTGTTGAAGATCGAAACAAAATTGATGGCTAATGAAAGTTGAAGCGTTTTCACTTTCAAAATCCACAACTGACAGTACCTATTACTAGATTAGGGTGCTATTGAAGCTGCGACGACGTTCTTGCTTGTGATGCATTAGAGATACAAACCATGCCGAGTTGTGCTACTAATCTTAACCTTGCGTTTCATCGGTGAGTTATTGTCTCCGCTTCTGTTATGTCTTGTGGAAAAGAGTTGGTTGTCGTTGCAAAAACGTAAGTCGTTCCTATGTTGAGGCTGTTGTTGTTCGAAACCACGAGCTATTGTTAAAACCTTGATGGCTTACGGAGTCGTTGCCGGAGTTGTCGCAACTCGGCAACGTTGGCAATAAAGAGAGGTTGATCTCGATGGGCTTTCGCTGCTACAAACTACTCTGTTGTTGATGAACTGCTGCTGTACATGTATCAACACCGATGTGGTTGTAGTGTCGAAGTTGTTATTATATCAGAGTTGCTTGTTGAAATTGAAACGAACCAATATCACTAATCGCCTTTCAACCTGCACATAAATAATCACACAGAAAAAAAAGCAGTACAGGGAGCCAAAACAAAAAATTGAATTTAAAGAGGGCAGTCTAAGCATATATGTAATCCAGGTTCTCCTCTTTCCATTGAATGGAGTTAAGGTTATTGTTGATGCGGCTGCAGTTCTGTCTAATCACCTCAGTATACATTATCATCAATTGACTTATTAATCCTCAAAAATATATTAACAGCCATAAGACCACTCAAACAAACACCAACATGCTAGATGCTTCTAACAAACAGAGTTGTCATCTTGCAGGCTCGAGAACGACGAGAAACACCGATGTTTCCATGATGCAGCATCAAGTAAGCAAGCCATATATATTAACCGTTATTGAATCCAAATAACAGAACAAAATCAAACCACAAGTGTAACAAAACTCACGATAATTGATACAACACGTCCTTTGAAGTTGAAACATAACCTAAACCAACCTTGATAGAAACGAGAAAACATCACCACACCCTTGTCATTCCAAACTTCAGGACAACAAACAATAACAACAACAGTTGAAATTGACACGCACACGAGATCGAATTGAAACATATAAAATCTTATTTCAACACCAAATGTTTCAATAATATTCATTACACCTAACATAATACTGTAAAATAAACTCACAACAACAACACATTATTTATAACATACCCAAACATGGCAGAACCACCACACAAGCAACAAAAGCTCAGTATACAATCTACATCAATATTTCAATCCAAAGTGAATTCAATACAAACAAATAACATGTATGCAGCCGATGTAATATTTATTTTCACCATAACACAAGCAGCAACTGAATGTATTAAAACATCAGCACAACATGAACAAAAACAATTCATACAACACTAATATGGAGGAGCAACACCCAACTCCTAACATGCTTTCCTCAAATTGTATCATTACAACCATTCTATGTCAAAGTCAATCACAAACATATGAGTATTTGAAAGGAATTTTACCGACATGTGAGAGTTGTCGCCTCTCTGTTTTGTTGTTGTACAAGACGCTGCCGTGAGGAACGTCGAACTTCGAGAAAAAAAGAGGGACTGCATTAATAGCTCAAGCTGGAATCCTGCCAGATAATGCCAATAACAAAATCTTTAATGCGGAGAAATATATGATCCACAACAATTGACACACGAGAACGCCCAGCAACTTCAGTAGATTGCTGCTGAGAATCTACATTTCCCCTATTTAGACAAACATATATTCCTATCATAAAGCGAAGAAGCGCACGTAGCCCTGGTTCACTTAATGCAGGGCAAACGACTTCTGTAACATGCAACTGAACCTCGAGCCCAAGTGGACTGTTCAATTCAGTTCTCTGAACGGTGATGTATGCTTCTCCTGATATTCCTTCTATAAAACGCTCGCCTCCAAAGAATACTCTCTTTGCACCATCATCATCTCTCCGGTTTGAACCTACCTGAGAATTGCCTAAAGTAGCATCCGTGAACATGTCAGGATGAGGCAAAAGATCAATAGATAATGATTCCCATTCCAATTTTTTGAAGACATAAATACACTTCTTATTAGATGAGAAATCCCGTGCCTCCTTAAGATTTACAACCTGCCAGGTTTCATTTGTGGTACACAGAGAAAGGTTGTGTATTGTTATAGATGCCATGGGTGGTGCCCATGTTGCTGCCCCTTCGAGACAAGCACTTCCATGAGTTTCAAGCAACAGATTAACTGTATGAATCTGTATTGTCATTCCATCTGCAATCTTATCAGCGAAACCATACCCGCTACCCTTGGCAGAGGCCCCTGAAGGTGTGGAACTGGTCGAAGTCTTTGGAGTCTCAGATGGTTTAAAATCAGAATTCTCTTCCAAAACCAAATCGAGCCTATCAATTTGCACAATGATTGGCTCTATCTGTACATTGCTCACGGACGGTAGCGTGATCTCCAATTTTCCAACTTTGGCTGTAGCTACATTGAGTGCCGGCGGCAATCCAACGCTGGAATGCAATGCCTCGCCGTTTATATCTAAATTAGATAGTTGAACGGTGTGACCCTGCAACTTGAATTGGTCTCGGGTGAAAGATTTGAGCCAGAATTTGAGAGTATACTCCAAAGCTCTTGCCAGGATTGATTCCATACCTCAGTTTCGTTTGGATCGAACGAAGAGATTCGAAAACCGGGTCTCCGACTAACAACAGAACCGTCGCCGGTCATATATATATCAGATCATAATGTGTGACAAAAGTATCAAAAACGAAGGCGGTGATTAATCTGGTTCGGGTCGGAGTATTCGGATCGGTGAGAGCATTTGGATTTTGCGATGGATATGAGAATCGGGGAAAACGAAAGTGGTGAGGGCTTGGATTTGAGCGGTGATGAAAGGTGGAAAACGGAGGGTTTACGAAGGGTTTACGAAGGGCTTGTGAGGATGATGATAATGGAGGTTGACGGCTAGGTCTTTGAGAGGATGATGAAGGGAGTTCCGCGGTGATTTCGCGATTCTGAAGAGATCGTGAACAGCCTTAGGGTTTGGTAATTGGGGCTGACGGCTAGGGTTACCCTCCACCATTGAGGATCCTGTGAACAGTGTAGGGTACCCTATTTATCCCAAAAAAAAAAAACAACCCTAATCCCAATCTAACCGTGTTTCATTTTCAATCTTTTTCTATCAATTTGTTTTTTTCTTAATAATAAACTAAATTAATAAACCTATTTCCTATTTATAATTTAACTCTAACTATTAATTACAATTTTAAATCTAAGCTAATTAATTAAAATCTAATCTAATTTAATTAAAAATAATAAAAACTCTAAATTCTAATCTAACTTTTTAAAAATAAATCCTAATTAAATTCTAACTCTATTTTTTTAATCTATTTTTTTTTAAAATTAAAATTTCTAAGTTATAATTAAGTTCTAAATTAAATCTATCTAATTAAAATTTTATAATTTAAATCCTAATTTCTAATTCAAAACTAATTAAAAAAAAACATTTTATTAACCTATCATGAGAAAAAAATGAAATTATAAAAACAAAAAAATGATAGATATATATAAAAAAACAAATGCCACGTGGCATACTCTTATTGGGCTAAAAAGCAAAAATGCCTGTTTTTGCTGAAAAATACGCTACGTTGTATAAGCGAGGTAAATTAAAAACAAAGTCGGGCAAATGAGAATTTTGAAAAAAGGTAGGACAAATTTGGGGGTATGACAGATGCCCCTATCTAATTGCCTTGAACCTGAGAGAATGAACAACTGCATGGCGTTCATTTTCAGGGTGAAAGTCAATTAGATACAAAAAGACCCCGAAATTTGTCCGACAAGCAAGTAAAAATGCAAAGAGATGGGATATACCAGAACGGGATGACAGGATGCAAAATAGATGAACGAGATAACCTGATATTCTCTGGGTGGTCGAAGCAGTCCCTTACCCAATAAGGTTCTTCGCGGTATAAGAGTGGTATAAATGATCCTCTTTTGGTGGTCGAAGCAGTCCCTCATTCGTTAAGGTCCTTCAATGATACCAAAGCGGTACAAACGATCTTCTTTGGGTGGTCGAAGCGGCCCCTTATTCGTTAAGGTCCTTTGATGATACCAAAGCGGTATCTCGATCAAAACTTGAGATTCTTCGGGTGGTCGAAGCAGTACCTTATTCATTAAGGCTCTTCGATGATACCAAAGCAGTATCTCGAACAAAACTTAAGATTCTTCGGGTGGTCGAAGTAGTACCTTATCCATTAACGCTCTTCGATGATACCAAAGCAGTATCTCGAACAAAACTTGAGATTCTTCGGGTGGTCGAAGCAGTACCTTATCCATTAAGGCTCTTCGATGATACCAAAGCAGTATCTCGAACAAAACTTGAGATTCTTCGGGTGGTCGAAGCAGTACCTTATCCATTAAAGCTCTTCGATGATACCAAAGCAGTATCTCGAACAAAACTTGAGATTCTTCGGGTGGTCGAAGCAGTACCTTATCCATTAAGGCTCTTCCATGATACCAAAGTAGTATCTCGAACAAAACTTGAGATTCTTCGGGTGGTCGAAGCAGTACCTTATCCATTAAGGCTCTTCGATGATACCAAAGCAGTATCTCGAACAAAACTTGAGATTCTTCGGGTGGTCAAAGCAGTACCTTATCCATTAAGGCTCTTCGATAATACCAAAGCAGTATCTCGAACAAAACTGGAGATTCTTCGGGTGGTCGAAGCAGTACCTTATCCATTAAGGCTCTTCGATGATACCAAAGCAGTATCTCGAACAAAACTTGAGATTCTTCGGGTGGTCGAAGCAGTACTTTATCCATTAAAGCTCTTCGATGATACCAAAGCAGTATCTCGAACAAAATTGAGATTCTTCGGGTGGTCGAAGCAGTACCTTATCCATTAAGGCTCTTCGATGATACCAAAACAGTATCTCGAAAAAAACCTGAGATTCTTCGAGTGGTCGAAGCAGTACCTTATCCATTAAGGCTCTTCGATGATACCAAAGCAATATCTCGATCAAAACTTGAGATTCTTCGGGTGGTCGAAGCAGTACCTTATCCATTAAGGCTCTTCGATGATACCAAAGTAGTATCTCGAACAAAACTTGAGAATCTTCAGGTGGTCGAAGTAGTACCTTATCCATTAAGGCTCTTCGATGATACCAAAGCAGTATCTCAAACAAAACTTGAGATTCTTCGGGTGGTCAAAGCAGTACCTTATCCATTAAGGCTCTTCGATGATACCAAAGCAGTATCTCGAACAAAACTGGAGATTCTTCGGGTGGTCGAAGCAGTACCTTATCCATTAAGGCTCTTCGATGATACCAAAGCAGTATCTCGAACAAAACTTGAGATTCTTCGGGTGGTCGAAGCAGTACCTTATCCATTAAGGCTCTTCGATGATACCAAAGCAGTATCTCGATCAAAACTTGAGATTCTTCAGGTGGTCGAAGCAGTACCTTATCCATTAAAGCTCTTCGATGATACCAAAGCAGTATCTCGAACAAAACATGAGATTCTTCGGGTGGTCGAAGCAGTACCTTATCCATTAAGGCTCTTCGATGATACCAAAGCAGTATCTCGAAAAAAACCTGAGATTCTTCGAGTGGTCGAAGCACTACCTTATCCATTAAGGCTCTTCGATGATACCAAAGCAATATCTCGATCAAAACTTGAGATTCTTCGGATGGTCGAAGCAGTACCTTATCCATTAAGGCTCTTCGATGATACCAAAGTAGTATCTCGAACAAAACTTGAGATTCTTCGGGTGGTCGAAGCAGTACCTTATCCATTAAGGCTCTTCGATGATACCAAAGCAGTATCTCGAACAAAACTTGAGATTCTTCGGGTGGTCGAAGCAGTACTTTATCCATTAAAGCTCTTCGATGATACCAAAGCAGTATCTCGAACAAAATTGAGATTCTTCGGGTGGTCGAAGCAGTACCTTATCCATTAAGGCTCTTCGATGATACCAAAACAGTATCTCGAAAAAAACCTGAGATTCTTCGAGTGGTCGAAGCAGTACCTTATCCATTAAGGCTCTTCGATGATACCAAAGCAATATCTCGATCAAAACTTGAGATTCTTCGGGTGGTCGAAGCAGTACCTTATCCATTAAGGCTCTTCGATGATACCAAAGTAGTATCTCGAACAAAACTTGAGAATCTTCAGGTGGTCGAAGCAGTACCTTATCCATTAAGGCTCTTCGATGATACCAAAGCAGTATCTCAAACAAAACTTGAGATTCTTCGGGTGGTCAAAGCAGTACCTTATCCATTAAGGCTCTTCGATGATACCAAAGCAGTATCTCGAACAAAACTGGAGATTCTTCGGGTGGTCGAAGCAGTACCTTATCCATTAAGGCTCTTCGATGATACCAAAGCAGTATCTCGAACAAAACTTGAGATTCTTCGGGTGGTCGAAGCAGTACCTTATCCATTAAGGCTCTTCGATGATACCAAAGTAGTATCTCGAACAAAACATGAGATTCTTCGGGTGGTCGAAGCAGTACCTTATCCATTAAGGCTCTTTGATGATACCAAAGTAGTATCTCGAACAAAACTGGAGATTCTTCGGGTGGTCGAAGCAGTACCTTATCCATTAAGGCTCTTCGATGATACCAAAGCAGTATCTCGAACAAAACTTGAGATTCTTCGGGTGGTCGAAGCAGTACCTTATCCATTAAGGCTCTTCGATGATACCAAAGCAGTATCTCAAACAAAACTTGAGATTCTTCAGGTGGTCGAAGCAGTACCTTATCCATTAAGGCTCTTTGATGATACCAAAGCAGTATCTCGATCAAAACTTGAGATTCTTCGGGTGGTCGAAGCAGCACCTTATTCATTAAGGCTCTTCGATGATACCAAAGCAGTATCTCGAACAAAACTTGAGATTCTTCGGGTGGTCGAAGCAGTGCCTTATTCATTAAGGTTCTTCGATGATACCAAAGCAGTATCTCGAACAAAACTTGAGATTCTTCGGGTGGTCGAAGCAGTACCTTATCCATTAAGGCTCTTCGATGATACCAAAGCAGTATCTCGAACACAACTTGAGATTCTTCGGGTGGTCGAAGCAGTACCTTATCCATTAAGGCTCTTCGATGATATTTAAGCAGTATCTCGAACAATGCTTGAGATTCTTCGGGTGGTCGAAGCAGTACCTTATCCATTAAGGCTCTTCGATGATACCAAAGCAGTATCTCGAGCACAACTTGAGATTCTTCGGGTGGTCGAAGCAGTACCTTATCCACTAAGGCTCTTCGACGATACCAAAGCAGTATCTCTAGTGATAATTTTGCTGAGGGATAGTAGAGCTAAAATCCCTATTAGAGGAACAATGTCGTCCAAACTCTGCAGGGGAGAAATCTACAACAAACTCTCTAAGATGACCTCTGCTTGGAGAGCCACCAGAGCAATGGTTGCTGGGGATCATCATCATCAACTGCATGGTTGAAGACTGACTTACTGAGGAGTAGAATTCCCTGAACTCGTGGGGTATTAACTCTTTTCAGAGTCATACTGCTAACTTCAAAGGAGGACTGACCAAGATGCTTGTGAACTGATCCTGGATCCTGCTACATTGCTATGTAATGCAATGTTTTATGATGCCCAAACATGCAACTAGGATGTAACTGGTATGGGAATGCAAGAT